CTCCACACAAGCTGGGAGCTCCCCTTTTGTCTCCGTGGGTCGGGTGGACCAGCTTGGGGCTGCATGTCTAGTCCAGACTAAGTCCCTGAGGATGGAAGGGTGGGTGGGTGAGGGGCAGAGAGCTGGGTGGGTGCAGGCTCAGCAGTTACCCCATAGTGCCAGCAGCTAGGGCTGCAGGGTGACTGCCCCCCACAGGCCCAGAGCCCCCCTCCACTTGCTTTCCCGCCTGAAACCCCTGGTCTGGCTGGGAACCCCCCAGGCTTAGGCCTAGGGCCCAGGGTCCTATGTGATGAGGGCATGAAGCCGCTCTCCATCTGTGCCACCCCAGCCCCCGACTTATTGGATAAGACTCAACCTGGGTCCTTGCTTTGGCCGCCCCCTCACTTCCCCAGACCCTCCCTGGTCAGGCCCAGGGGAGACCTCCAGTGGGAGGTCGGGGGCTCCAGGTAGGGAAACCTCCTGTCCTGACTCAGAGGCCAGCCCCCTCCTTGGACTCAGGAAGACTCTCCAGCTGCAGGGCTGGGGTGACCCAGCCTCTGTTCCCCCCACCCCCTGCTTTCCCCTCCACGTGAGCGTCCTAGCAAAGTCAGCCGATAGACAGGCTCCTGCCACTATCCGTGTCTCTGCCGCCCTCACTCAGTGTGACATTGGGGAGGAGGCCTGGCCTCTCGGAGCCCGAGTGTCCTCACCTGGAGAGAGTGGATGAGAGCGCTCAACCTACCCCACAGGGCCCCCCCCAAGCAGGTCCCCAGCACGGGTTGGGGGGGGGGCTGTCTGCCTCCTTTCACCCAGCAGCCACAGGGTGGTCACGGTCTGTCCACGTGGTAGCACCGGTCAGAGCGTCCCTCCTTTTACAGCGAGTCAGCCACCCTAAACTGCACAGGGAGATGTATGGGTTGCCCGTCGGCGGTGCAGTGTTGGCCGGTGGTCGGTAGCCATCAGCTGAGGACTACTAGTCCCAGTTAATGTCCAGCAGGCAAATGTCACACTGACACCCAGCGGTGGACCTCCCCATGGTTCCCGACCCCCTAGGCACTCTCTCCTCCATTACAAAGGTCTGTGGTTTCATGGGAAAGGAACAGCCTTTAATGCGGGATCAGGAACACCTTGGAAGTGACAGGAGCAATTAGGAGCCAGGGGCGGGAAGCTCACAGGTGCAGTCTGAAAGGATCCCTAACAGGGAGCACCATGGTCACGCCCGACTCATGGCTAGCAGGGCTCACGCTCCTTTGCTGTCTGCCCCTCTGGGGCAGGGCCAGGATTCCTCTACTGCATGGTCCTGGCTTCCCTTTCCCTCGGGACAGGATGCCACCCACCCGCCCAACTCCCGAGAGGTGAAAGAGGAGAGGGTTTGGAGAAAAGCTTCATTCATTCTGAATGGCCTGGGCTAGTGACTCACAGCGGACGGTTCGTGAATACACAGCAGGATGGCTCTGGTGCCTGTGCCCGCCTTCCTGGTGCACATGATATGTGAGCCTGCAGGTGGGCATGGGAACTCACAGGTGCTTCCTCTCTGCTGTGGGGGGCGAGGAGACAGGCCCAGGAATGTGACTCTACTTGCCCCCACCCCCACCCCCCAGCTCCTGGAATCTTGAGTTGGCTCCAGGGCCTTCATGGGGATCAGAGAGATGTTCTGAAAATATTTCTTAAAAACCTAGAACAAATTTACACTGTGTCAAAAGAGAGATCGTATGAGGTGTTGAATTTTAACCTAACTACCTCTGCAGTCATCCACTTTCAGTGCACTCTGCGAGTGAGCAAGGCTGGTCCGCGGTCAGAGGGGATTCACCGGAGGCTTGATCCCCGTGTGCTGCCCCTTCCAGGACAGGTCCATCTAGAGACCATGACCAGACCAATGGCTTCTTAGGAGTGTGGCTGGGGCAAGCCGGTCAGGACAGGAAGAAAATGCTCTAAAGCTGGTTGTGCAGCACTTCCTGGTGCGGTGACTACTGAATTTCGCTCTCACAAGCCCATCCCCGTGCTGGCCAAGCCACTGCCTTCCGCCATCCATCCCTACCACGAAAACATTCCATTGCGGAGAAGCGCATCCCCGCGTTCTTCTCAGAAAGAAATTTAGCTGTGCAGATGACTTCTGTTACCCTGGGTTTCTGCATGGTGCTGCGCCCCGCGCCCTCTCAAAAGAGCACAGGCAGGGCTGCTCAGCCGGCCACCATTCCTGGATGGTGCCTAGATATCCCCCCGGTCCTGCTGGAGCCAGCACACACTGGGGGTACGGTGGAGGGACATCTGCCAGAGGCAGCCCCACGGCCACTGGGAGGCCCAGGGTCTCAGGCCTCCTCCGTGGCCTGAAGTGGGACCGCGGGACCTGAGAGCTTTGAGCAGACAATGGACAGAGAACATTAAAGAGCCAGGGCTGACACACTGAGCCGCTCAATGCATTTGGTTAATTAGCCAAGACTCCCTCCCTGCAACAAGAGCAGTCAGTTTCCCCAGTGCCCGCACAGCATACCTGCTCTGTGGGAGACAAGAAGACTCCCTCCCTGCAACAAGAGCAGTCAGTTTCCCCAGGTATGCACAGCATACCTGCTCTGTGGGAGACAAGGTGAGCCTTGGGCAACACGGAGCATCCACTGCAGGCTGCACGGCTGGAGCCCGGGCATGCCCAACACCTGTGCGTCCTGCAGCCTGGTGTGCTTCTGTACTGGAGCCTGGGGTCTAGT